GCTGGCACATCAAAATACATTTAAGCCTTGATAATTTTATAGTGCCTGTCAACATTTTGGCTCTTTGTTGTTCACAAATCAAATCAAAGTCAGGTGAGAGAGTGTGGGGTGCAGGTGGCTGATTGGGCGGTGGCTTGGTTGGTTGGGTGTTAAGGGCAACCACGTCCTCATACACGTCCTCATCCACGTCCTCATTCTCATTCTCATTCACATTCCCATCCTCGTCGTCATCGTTGACAAGTTGAGCATTTTAATTGCTGCCGTGCGGCCGCTTAAGTTAAATGTCAACAATGCCAGCAACAGCAGTTGCACTAGCAACAAATTTTTGTGGCTGCAACCCTTTCAGGCTTAAGCTGGGCGAGCGTGTGCTGGGCGGCGGGCAGCGGCCAGGGGCCAGGGGCCAGGGAGGGGGATAGGCGGTTGCACGCAAAGAGTCAACTGGCTGTGCGTATCCACAGAATGCGCTAATAAAATATGCATAACAAACTTGAGTCAAACGAGGTTCAACTCCAACAAACAATCCGCCACCCTATTCTCTATCCCTCAATCCCCCGCCGTCTGCCATGCAACCCCACAAGTCCTATCTGGTCTAGTCCTTTGTAGCGGGGCTGTTGCACGCAATGCGCTACGCACCATTGTGAAAAGGGTTAAAAATCGAAAGTATGAAAACAATTTCGTTGCCGTTGTTGCTCTGGCTGTTAAATTGTTGGTCGTTGCCGCTGTCGCTGTGACTGTGACTTCTCTAACCCGTAAAACTATTATTATGATCATTACTGTTGGGCTACCCCCAACCCCAATCCCAATCCCAGTCCCAGTCCCAGTCCCCATCCCAGTCCCAATCGCAACTTTCAGCACGCACTTTGTGGCGCTGTCGCCCTGTCGCCCTGTCTCATAAATGTTTTGGCAATAAAACGCAACTTATGATAATGCACATTGACAGCGGCAGCGACTTGTCACAGCCGCATGACATGCAGAAAATTTCAATTGATGACGAGAGCTGCGACAATAATGGGCGATTTGTTGTTGACTCCGTTGAAAGGTTATGCGTACGCACATTCAATTTGCGTTACAGCCAACATTGTGGTTTCTTAATGGAGCCGTTCCACTCGCTGACTTGCCGTGAGTGTGACGAGTAGCTAAATGTGTGCAGGAGTACATGTTGTAGGAGATGAGCCACACATGATGTAAGACATGAGAAACACCATTCTCTACTCGTCTCTTTTACTCGTTACATATTCTCATTTATGTATGAAACGATTAAGTGTTTAGAGAAGTATGTGAATGAGAAGCTCGTTAGACTCCATCTACCCATATGAGTACAGCTACTCGTTACTTTCGTATTCGAATGTGGCGAGTCAACTCGTTGTATACTCATAAGAGACAGTGATGTATGTGGACGAGTAGCGTTAGACTCCATCTACTCAAATGAGAACACTTACTCGTTACATTCGTATTAGAATGTAACGAATAGTTGAATATCTAGAGCAACAGTGTGAGTATGAAGTAGGAGTACAATCAACTCATTGCATACTCACAAGACTTCATCAACTCGTTGCATACTCACAAGACTTCATCTACTCGTTGCTTTTACTCGTTACATATTCTCATTTATGTATGAAACGAGTAAGTGTTTAGAGAAGTATGTGAATGAGAAGCTCGTTAGACTCCATACCCCATCTACGGCTACTCGTTACTTTCGTATTAGAATGTGGCGAGTAGATGAATATCTAAGGGAAATGGTGATGTATGAGTGCAACCAACTCGTCGTATACTCACAAGACTAAATCTACTCGCTGTTTTTACTCGTTACATATTTTTGAGCTACATACAAAGACTTGTCTCAATTGTCTCGCTACTTTAAACTCGCCCGTAAAACTCGTTACTGTATGCTCTAAACTGAGTATCAATAACATACTAACCCTTTGCTAGTATTAGCTTTACGTCCACTCGTTACTTTTTACTCGTCAGCTATGTAATCGTTGTAGTCAATCATCCATTGAGGCCATGCAGCTTAGGAACTCATGAGTCTGTTTCACAGCTAGACTAGGTCACTAAGGCATACTCGCCACATTTCACTCGTTAGTTCAGCAGTTGCAGAAATATGCCGTGCAACTCCCCCGGCCGCCTGGTAAACAATCTCATTAATCATGCTGCAAATTGCCAGCTCGGCAGGCCTGGCTGTGCTGGCGGGTTTGCGGCTGGGGTCGGGGCAAGTGTTGTCAACATCGCCATAACCCTTCAGCGGGCATCGGCAGTTGCGGCACCGCCGGTGGCGTTGCTGACATTGGTGACGGCGGCAGCGACAGCGGCAGCAATTAATAATACGTAATTTATGCTGAGCATTTGACTTTTTGGGCCAAAACACTCAAACTTATTGACAGTTTTTTCCATGGCCTGTGCGTGGGCTCAAGAAAGCGAGCGAACGAAATAAATAAAACTAAAAGGGTTACGGCTAACAGCCATCGAGTCACGGGTTAGGGTTCGGGCTGTGGCTGTGGCTGTGGCTGTAGCTGGTGAGGGGGAGGGGGCCGCTTCTTGGCCGCCTTTTATTGCTGCACTTCAAACTCCGGCAACTCCTATTGAAGCGTTACAATTTACAACCTCATGCCCAGCCAGTCATGTGGAACCAGCTATTTGTACAGCTTTCTGGTACTGGATATGGATATGGGCATGGGTAGGGGTCAGGGCCTGGGTCTCGGTCTGGGTCTAGCCTGCTGAATGCGGGCTCAGTGCTTTCAATTACCCGAAATTAGCTCTATCGATGATGGTAATCTAGTCTAGCCAGGGCCGCGCTTCCTTGCGCCCCATATCGGGGCGGGCTAATCCGCGGCGGTCGCAACAGTTAGTTATAGTTAGTTTAGCTGGCATTCGTGCCAAATTCTATTAGTGAGCCTTTGACGGCTCCGCTAGTCGAGGCCTTAACGCTTGGCTTAGCCGCCGGCCCAGGGGTTAGCTGCCCGGCGCTTAATCCATCCACCGAGCACCACCTTCCTCCCATCGGCGATGACTAACTGAGCCGTTATTAAATTAAATGTTACACCTCTTATATCCGGGCAGGTTGCATTCACTCTCGAGTGCCAGCCAGTGATGGCTCTCAATTAACCGTTAGGTTAATATCAATCGCAGATGCATGCGAGTATATCGAAAGCGGGCCTCGTTCCACAGACTCAAGCCAAGCTAGGACTATTCATGCATCCAACTCAATATTTGCATTTGTGTATCTAAGACTAACAATGTATCTTGTATCTGTATTCGCCTCAGTCTCTGCTGCCTCCTCGACTGATGCCTAATGCGTAATTTGCAATTTGCAATAAGTTATGTATCTGCAGCTCCGCTCGGCACTTGTAACTGCAATGCATTACATGTTACTGTATCTGCGCCTTGTACCTGCCGCCGAACTTACCTGTCGATGCCTATAGGCAACTGTCGATAATGTAGATACATTTGTATCTTTGTGCATAACAGCAATTGTATCTGCATTTTGATTATGGCAGCCAACTGCATTTGCATCTTTATCAGTGCAATCTCTGTAGTTTATGTATCTGCAGCTGTCACTCATCTAAATCGCATGATTTATATACTTACATATGCATACTTACTTTATTTATCTAATGGCAAATGTATCTGCATCTAAACAATCTCAAAACGGATGTATTTACAATTGCAGTTATATTTGTATCTACATATATAACGGCTAGCCAGGGCATCTGCACTTGCATTTGTATCTGACTTGGTGAGTGTATCTACAAATGTATCTGCTTATGGCTGCAAATGTATCTGCAGTCAACTCAGATATCTACATAAGCTTATGCATCTGCATCTAGCTGTAAATGTATCTGCATTGGCAACCACAATTGCAGCCGCAATTGTATCTAAGATATCTGTAATCAACCAGCGATTGTAGCTGCGCCGTCTTTTCATTTGTATCTCTGTCCGTGCATGTATCTTAATAGCTAGCACCAAAAGTATCTGCATATGTAGTCAAGTTGACATTCATCTACATCAGCTGCAGCTGTGTTTGCATCTCTATGACTATCAGCGAATGTATCTGCAGCTTCACACTGATGTATCTGTGTTCACATCTCTTTAGATGTGAACACAGATACATCAGTGTGAAGCTGCAGATACATTCTTTATCTAGCTAACTGCAACAGCAGCAGCAGCTGCAGCCATTTTGGCACCTGTATCTCTGCAGCTGCAACTGCCAAATGCAAATGCAAATAGAAATCTATCTGCAGCCCTGGCGCTGGCCAGCTGCGAAATATGGCTGGCAGCGCTTAATTAAGACATCGAACGACAGCAAACGCTTTATTTGCGTATACGCAATAAATACAAATGTAAATATGCACTTGCACAGATGTGCATGTGTGTGTGTGTGTGTGTGTGTTTGTATATGCATACATGGAAAAGAATTCATTGCTCATTTGTGTAAATATTGGGGAATTCGCTTCGGTTGTCCTGCAAATAGTGAAAAGTCCTTTGTGTGCCGCACGCGCATTAAAGTTTCCATTTGGGAAATAATGCAAACAACAATAATCATACTAATAATAGTGCGAAGTAATGCTAATAGTAATAATAATAATAATAAAACACGTTTATCTTGTTGCATGTATGTTGTTGTTGTTGTTTGTTTTTTTTTTTTTGTATTTTCGTTTTATTTTTTTATATATA